GGTCAGAGGGAGAAGCAGACTCCCTGCTGAGCAGGGAGCCCGATGCGGGACTCGATCCCGGGACTCCAGGATCATGACCTGAGCCGAAGGCAGTAGCTTAACCAACTGAGCCACCCAGGCGCCCTAGTTTTTTATTTTTGACCATTGGCCAAAACTGGCTCAATCAGCTCAATCAGCTCAATTGGCTCAATAAGCTATGTGTTTGGAGTGGGTTTTCCAAATCAAGCAAATGAAAATACAGGACACCTAGTTACATTTGAATTTGAGATAAACAATGGATAATTTTTTTCATATATCTCAGGTGGTATTTGGAACTACCCTAGTTTGGAAAGTGGGAGAGTTTTATTAAAGAGAACTTGCTTTTACCGCAGGCTGGATGTGGCACTGAGCCAGGAGTATTACTCAGGGAGGTCTCTGCTGCACTAAACAGAATTTGTGGATTGAACACGTGAGCTGAGAACTGTGAGTGTCACACCCTCTAGCCTTCAGATAGCTCTCTCTCCTTGTTCTAGCATTTCCACATTGTTGCCTTTTGCTTTTAGCCCCATTGGACCCCAGAAAGAGCAGTGAGAAGATGGAGAGAGATGTAGGCCGCATACAGTGGTTCGTGGGGCCGGGGAGGCTCTGTCCACCCCGCAGCTTACACAAGCAGAACTGGCTGGATTTTGCCTTTCAGTCCAACTAAGGAGGTCAGGCCTCTCTTGACGCCCCCGGGGGAGCTAGGCCACCGTGGGCCTCTCTAGGGCAGGGGGAGGGTCTGGGGTTAAGTCAGAGACACTTGATTTTAATCTTGAGTTGGCCATTGACTGGTGCTGTCTGGATTAAGGCACTTGACCTTCATTCACTCAAAAACAGTTGTGGAGTGCAGGGCATCACCAGCACGACCCTGGAGCCCGACTGCCTGGGTTTGCTTCCTGGCCCTGCCTTTCGATAGCCGTGCAAGTCACTGAGCCTCTCTGTGCCTCAGTTTCTACCCAACACTATCCTGAGGACTAAAACATAGTAAACAGTGTCTGCCACAGAACAAATGCCATGTATATGTTTAACCAGTAAAAGTCGTGGTACTTAAAAGACATTGGCACTCCAGTAGCAAGCAAGACAGACTGGATTCCTCATTCCGACAGAAATAGAGTCCTTAAGGGCGCCTGGGTGGCTCAGTTGGTTAAGCGACTGCCTTCGGCTCAGGTCATGATCCTGGAGTCCCAGGATAGAGTCCCGCATCGGACTCCCTGCTCGGCGGGGAGTCTGCTTCTCCCTCTGCCCCTCCCCCCTCTCAGGCTCTCTGTCTCTCTCATTCTCTCTGTCTCAAATAAATAAATAAAATCTTTAAAAAAAAAAGAAATACAGTCCTTAAAGTTATATCTTACAAAGACTGGATCAGATGTCCAAAAATTTACCCTCAAACTAAGTTATCATTTCAGTGCATTCCCCGTGGCTCTTATTGGATAATTATTCAAGAATCATTGTTTTCTTCAGTGACATTGGCAGAAAAGCTAGTCGTATGACAATTTGACAACAATACTAATGTGCTGACAAGGATCAGAATATGCTGCCCCCGAATATGCTACCGAAGGCCAATGAGAATGAACAGATGCAGAAACAAGCCTTCCCAGAGCTTCTCTTATCTGATTAAGGCAAGAATTTTTCTTTAAGATTTTATTTTTTTATTTGAGAGAGAAAGAGGGTGAGAAACGTTCAAGCAGGGGGAGCAGGAGAGGGAGAGGGAGAAGCAGGCTCCCCGCTGAGCAGGGTGCCCTACATGGGGCTCGATCCCAGGACCCTGAGATCATGACCTGAGCCAAAGGCAGATGCTTAACTGCCTGAGCCACCCAGGTGCCCCAAGACCAGAAACTTCTGACAATGAGGACTGTTATAAATCCCCTCTCCCTGGAAAGTCACACCAAAGGGGGCCTGCACACACAAACCCTATCTTACAACAAAATAATCCCTATCTTCCACCAAAATAATCCCTATCTTCCATTTGTTTCCCCAGATCTTTACCTTCCCACAATTTAGGACCCTGGGAGCTCAAAACCCTTTTCCTCTCCTTGTCACTTCCCCACAAATTTATCATCCTTTTGTTAAAATGATAGGTAAGCCTCAGGGCCTGACCAGATCTTTTCATTTCATTTCTGGGAGGCCCATAATATGCATATGACATAAACCTTTTCTCTTGTTAATATGTCATTTGTCAGTTCAATTTGCATGGCCCCAGTCCATGAACCTAGAGGGTAGAGAAAACATTTGTTTCCTCTCCAACAGTGTAACTTATGGAACCTCAATTCTGGGGCATCATGTCTGGTATTTTACCTTCTCAAGCATCTCTTGGGAAAGACAATGATATTCCCATCATATGAGAGCAGGACCCAGGGATCAGAGGTGGAATCCCCTGCTCGTGGTCCAACGACTCCTAAGTGGGAGCACTCTTTTGAACCAAAGTCTCTCAGACATGAAAGAAAGTGTGTTTCGTTTTTCACCATGTTCCACTCTACCACCTTCCCCTTCTAAATACCACCCCTAAGTGCCACGAAAGGCTTGATGTTGTAAACAAACAGAATTGATCATTTCAAAGTGTTTTGGTGGGCGGAAGGGGTTAGAAATCCAGTCACGCTCCTGGGAGTAGGGATGAGAAATGCTGTTATGCCTGAGCCAAGAATCTGCCCAAGAGTCTTGTCAAGTGAATTTATAATATGTCTGCATTTTATTGGCACTAGCCCTGGAGCTCGAAATGTGAATGGAGGGAACAAACCTGCTGGAGCCTTAATTAAACATTGTGTTGCTTCCAATTAACAAAGATCACAGATCCACCAGGGTTTGTTTGGCCGGCCAAGTAAACCTACCTTCCCCACTGTACTTTGCAGCCAAAAGATGTCCAATCAGATACAGAATAAATGCCATGTTCCATGGCGAGGTAAAAACTCACACAGAAGTCCCACCTCATTTGGGTCAGCCACAGGGAGAGCCTCATGGTTCTCAGTATCTTATGATCCATTCACTCGGCAATCTTCCACACAAGGATCAGCTCCCTCTTCTGCGGAGGACCCAGAGGCTTGGGGGTGCAAGACAACTTGCCCAAGGTCCTTAAACTGCTGAGTGCAGCTGGCTTCACACTTGGGCAGGAAGTCGGCTCTAAGGCCCAGGAGACAACCCCAGAAGGCGAGCTACTGCCTCTGCAAGAAGAGTTAATGCAGAAACTCTTTAAGAAGAGTTAATGCAGAAAAAGAAGTGAAGAATCTAATATTTGTTGACTGTCTGATATGTTTGAGGAAACCAAGGCTCAGACAAGCGACTGGCCCAACAGAACGCAGCCGAAAAGCCAGGACTAAAACCCCCATCTGTTTTGCCACCCAAGTCTGTGATTGGCTGGCCACTGACTAAGAAAGGATAATTTTTAGCTGTTGCTTTGCTATCAGACAGTTTTTAGGGCATTCTTTTATCCTCATTCCAATTTTTTTGGATTAAAGATGATGTTTCCTTTATTGATAGATGTGAGGACAGGCCATCCCAGCAGATGACTGCATTAAGATTCTAATCAACAGCTTAAGGGAAAAAAACCAGAAAGAGACAGTGATCAAGGGGTGGAGTCTTAGTTTAAGTGCAATGTAGATAGTGGGTGATAGAAACTTCTGTCATTCAGCAACCAGGAACCCAGAGCTGGGGAATGAGAGCAGAGGCATCCCTTATCTGGTTTCATGCTTTGGGGAAGAGAGGAAACCAAAGGGTTTTTAAGTATCTACAATATATGACTTACCTGTCTCCTGAGCAGGATAAATGACTTCAAAGAATTTAAGCAGTCAGAAAGATTAACAGCTAAGTCAGAGCTGTGGGGTTTATATGAGTTCTTAGTGAAAGACACAGAGGATGAGGGTGGGGAAAAGCTTGATAACTTTGCTTTAAATCCTTCAGAAAAAAAAAAAAGAAAAAAAGAAAAAGAAATAATAATCCTACCAAGAACTCAGGGCGGTGAAACAGGATCAACCCCGTCGGAAAAAAATGCCTTTACTAAGGGCTGAATAGACTCCGTGAGCAGAACGACAATGCACTGATTCAGCGTGGGATGGGAAGCCTCTTCTGACAGTAATTACGTGTACTGAAGGAGCAGAACAGGATCACTAGGTGATGATTTTCCCTTCCTGTTGTAAAGGTCTGTTAGCCAGGCATCACCTGGCATGCAGGCCAGCGCAAGTCTTCTGAAGAAATGGCTCGGTCCTGTTGGTCAATTTTAGCAGGTGCCTGGAGCAGGGCAGGCAAGCCTCACCCCCTCCGTGTTTTTATAAGGCCTAAAATAGTTTTACATTTTTAAATGGTTGAAAAAAAATAAAAAGAACAGTATTTCGTGACCCGTAAAAACGATAGGAAATTCACATTTTGGTGTCCACAAATGAAGTTTTATTGGCACATTGCGACACTTATTCATTTACGTGCTGTCCGAGGCTGCGTTTGTGCTAAAAGGGACAGAGTTGAGGAGTTGTGGCAGAGACGGATGGCCCACCCAGCATGAAATATTGAGTGTCTGGCCCTTTACAGGAAATGTTTGCTGACCTCAGGCCTGGAAGCACCTGCAGAGTCAGATTCCTCCCACTCTTACCACCCAAGTTCAAGGTTGATTTTTCTTGTCTAGACTGCTGGCTCTTCTGTTAAGTTGTCACCCTGTTGTACCACCCCTTGCTTCCCTGAACAAATTTGCCTTCTATCAGCCAGAGAGATCTTGTTTTAAACAACTTTGCTGAGGCACAATTTGCATACTATTAAATCCACCCATTTTCAGTGTACAATTCAATGGCTTCTAGGTAATTTAACAAGTTGCCTAACATCACCACAATCTAGTTTTAGAACATATTTGTCACCCCAGTAAGATTCTTTGTGCCCATGTATGGTTAATCCTCCTACCTCTACCCCAGCTGCAGGCAACCATCTACTTTTCATTCCTGTAGATTGGCCCTTCCTGGACATTTCATATCCACAGAATAACAAATATGTGATCAGAGAAATCTTTCTAAAGCATGAATCGGATCAGGTCACAATCTTGCTTAAAATTCTCCCATAGCTTTCCCCAGTACCTGGAATAAAATTCCACCTCTTTGCCCTGGCCCACAAGGGCTCACATGGCTCCCCTCTTCCTAAGTCTTGAGCTGCATCTCACAGTACTTTTTCCCCTGTTCATAGCCTTGGAGTGACAGCCCCAGATACTTCTCCCTTGCTGTTCCCTCTAATTGGAATGCCCTTCCCCTGCCTTCTCTAAGGCCTGACCCCTTCCTAGCCTACAGTTATCAGTGTAAATACTGCCTACAATGGAGTGTGTGTCACCAAAGGATGCTCTTGTAATTACTCTGCTTATCATTATACATTCTAATTATTCTGTTTATTTATTGGCTTGATTATGGTCTGATTCCCTGCCAGAGATGTCAGATTCATGGGCTCAGGGCCCTCCTCTTTCATATTCACCACAATGTTCCAGGATCTAGTGCAATGCTTGACATAAATATTCATCGAAGGAGTGAATAAATCAATTATTATTCAGCTAGACATTTGATAAAAATCTCCTAACTGTTCTTTCTCCTTTTTGATCCATCCTCCCTATTTCTGTCCATTAGAAATATAATGCAAACGACACATGCAATTTAAAATCTTCTAGGGGCACCTGGGTGGCTCAGTCATTAAGCATCTGCCTTCGGCTCAGGTCACGATCCCAGGGTCCTGGGATCAAGTCCCACATTGGGCTCCCTGCTCGGCGGGAAGCCTGCTTCTCCCACTCCCCCTGCTTGCGTTCCCTCTCTCGCTGTCTCTCTCTCTGTCGAAAAATAAAAATAATATCTAAAATCTTCTAATAGCCACATTTATAAAGTAAAAATGAATCAGGTGAAATTAATTTTAAGAATGTATTTTAGTTAACACAATATCTCTAAAATAGTATCTCAACATTAAAATCAATATTAACGATCATTAATAAGATTTTTCTGTACTAAGTCTTCAAAAGCTGGTGTGTATTTTGTACTTACAGCCTCTCTCAATTTGGACTAGTCTTATTTTAAAGGCTCAATAGCCACCATGGCTGGTGGCTACCATGTTGGATAATGCTGCTGTCGAAAATCGAAGTGATTTTCCCAGACCACAAAACTGACCATGTCACTCCCCCCTTCACTGGCACCTCATCCCCTCTCAGATGAAGCCTGGGTGTGCTAGTCTGACCCATGCAGAGTTCCCCACGATCAGACACCGGCCCCCTCCCCCTCCTATCTCTGTCACCCCTGACCTCACATGTTCTTCTCCATTAACACCAGACAGCTTGGGCTTCTTACTCAAACCACGTCCTTGCCACTCCCCTTCCCGTGGGCCTTCCTCTTGCTGGTAGGCTATGAGCAAGGGAGAAAGCAGCATGAGATGTTAGTAGAGAATTAGGAAGCCCTGTGGGCCAGGGTGAGGGATTGGGATTTAATTTAGCTGTTGGAAACAGCTGTGGGAGGGTTTAAGCAAAAGAGAGACATGATCTAATTCATGCTTTTAAAATAGGCCTTCGGCTGCTACTTGCTCCTTGCATCTACCCACACCCCAAACTTCACCTCATCCTTTTTTTCTTCTTCTCTTTTTTCTTCTTTTTTTCCCCAAAGATTTTATTTATTTGAGAGAGAGAGAGAGAGCAAGAGCAGGGGGGAGGGAGGGGCAGAGGAAGAGAGTGAAGGACAAGCTGACTTCTTGCTGGGCAATCTTGGGGTTCTGGGATTGAGCCTCACCTCATCCTCTTTATCTTCACCTCAAACATCCCCTTTACCAGGAAGCTTTCTCAGATACCCTCCCATCCCATTAAGGGTATTGCATTCATATTTGTCCTAGCCTGCTGTACGGGGGTGATCTGTTTGCTTGTCTGTCCCCCTCAGGAGGTTGTACACACCTTCAGGGCAGGTCCCCCTGTACTTCAAGTGTCCTGCACCCTCAGCTCCCACCCTGGAGTCTGACAGACACATGACAACCAGCAGTTTGACAACTGAGTGCATGAATGTTTGTTTTCTGCCCTTGGTTTTTCATTTGGCTCTCAGAGAACTCCTATTAATAGCCCTTTTTATTTTCTGGGCCTATCACCTTTTATTTATTACTCTGCCCTATTCAGTCTGCATCTTAAATGATTCCTGGAATGTAGATGCTGGAAGGGACTCATTGGGTTTCTCTTTTTCACTCAATGTTCCTTGAGCTCCTCCTCAAGGCAGGTGTCATGCTAAGGACTATGGACACAGGGGTGGACAGTTCTCTGTCCTTGCCCCCAGAGAGCTCACTGTCTATGAGTCATGGATGATTACAATGCAGCATGAGCAGGGACACATAGGAGTGTGACAGCTCTGGAGAGGGCCACCACACTTGATCTAAAGTATGTCAAGGAAAGCTTCCTGAAGGGCCATGATTTTAAATGACACATGCAGGATAAATATTTCAGAGCTAAAGAGTGGGGGAGAGTAGTGATTTCGCAGACTTTGATGTGTATTAGAATCTTTTGGAGGGGGCGCCTGGGTGGCTCAGTCGGTTAAGTGTCCCGACTCTTGATTTCGGCTCAGGTCATGATCTCAGGGTTGTGGGATCGAGCCCCGCATTGGGCCCTCGCTCAGCCTGGAGTCTGCTTGTCCCTCTCCCTCTACACCTCCCCCTACCCATCTCTAAAACAAACAAACAAACAAAGAAATAAAATCTTAAAAAAGAAAAGAATCTTCTGGAGGGCTTGTTAAAATCCAGATTGCTGGGTGTGGTCCCAGAGTTTCAGGGTCTGGTCTGACCGGGGCCATTTGTGACGAGCCCCCAGGTACTGCTGCTGTGGTGGCCGGAGGCAGAAGCTGCACAGAGACCGCGGACGTTAGCACAGCCTCGGAGCAAGCAGAAAAGGCAGATGGTTCAGGCTGGCTGGAACGCTCTCA